CCTAGGCCCGGAACCGGTCTCGGTTCACGGGCTGGTCAGACTGGACCCGGGCCAAGACTAGCCTGGACGATGGATATAAATAAGAGGTATTTACCTAAACAGGAGTAAATCAATCTTTAATTGCCAAAATAAGACTAAAGTATAAAAATTCCTTAAATAGGAGTTATTAATTGTAATTTGACAGAAACACCCATGTGAAGCCTGGAAATAATACTGTCGACAACCAGAATTCTGGAACACCGCCAGTCGCCGGACGTCGCCGGTCACTGTCGCTCACCGCCGGTCGCCGGACATGGCCGCCGCCTCAAAATTGGCCGCCACTGCAGATCGAACCACCGCCATTGTAGATCTTGCTATCACCGTTGCAGATTTGGATGGCACCACCGGAGATCTAGCCAAATCTATCTTCCGCCATCTGCTGGTCACTGCCCTAACAGATCCGGCCACTAGGGCTGAGCAAAACCCGATCCGACCCGAAAAATCCGATATTTTTTTCGGATATTATCTGAACCGAAGTGGATATCCGACCCGAAAAACCCAAAACAGAAAATCCGATTAGTATTGGGCCTAGATCGGGTGGCGGGTAGGGTTTGTGAAATCCCAACCCGACCCGCCCGAATATCCGAAATATATGTTAGTGTATATTTTGAATATTTTAAATTAATATTTGTGTTCAATTATTTTTGTAATTATTTATGCAATTTGTAATAAATTATTTGTGTAAATTGAATGTGTAGTGCACTAGTGTGTACAATTTTTGTCAAAGTGGCATTCTAACACTTTAGTTATCCAATTATAATGTGTTTTAATATAACCGAAAAATCCGAAATATATTAAATTATGTAGTGTGTACTTTGAATATGTTAAATTAATATTTGTGTTCAATTATTTGTGCAATTTGTGTTAAATTATTTGTGTAATTTGGAAGTTTAGTGCACTATTGTGTACAATTTTTGTCAAAGTGGCATTTAAACACTTTAATTATCCAATTATATATTTTTTTTTTGACATAACCGAAATATCTGAAACCCGACCCAATATCTGATAATATCCGACTTAAAAATATCTGAAATACCCGATTTGAAATATCAAAGGGTCGGGCCTTGTATTTAAATTAAAAAACCCGAACGGGTTTAGGATTCACAGACCTGACCCGCCCGAACCCGACCCGTGCACAGCCCTACTGGCCACCATCATAGTCAATCTGATATCTGCGGTTGCAGATATGGCCTCCACCATTGTAGATCTGTTTGTTATCAGCGCAAATGCCACTATTTTTATCAAAATGCCAACATAAATCGAGAATTCCATTTTAATGACATTTTTAAAGAATTGACCATATTTTTTGAAGAATACGAATGCCATTTTGATGGCATTTTCAGACTTTAATCTGGCATTTTTTTAGTTTCAATTAACATATGGAACTTAATAGAAGGGGAAGAGAGAACTAGAGAAGAGGGGGAAGGACAGGGAGAATATCGGAGAAGAGGCGGACCTTGAAGAAGGAAACTCGATCTGCGGCGGCGAGCAACGGCAGTGAACTTTCCAGTGGCGGCGGAGATGGCTTTGATTGGGCTTCTGGGTTTGGTTATTCATGTTTGAAGGAGGAGAAGATTTGTAGCGATTGGAGAAGGTTTGCCGCAACAGATGGAAAACATGCGCAGGGAAGGAAAGATAAGACACACAAGTAGAATGGACCGTGTTGCGCAAGGGAAAAGAAATAAAATAGGGGTATAAAGGTAATCTAGTCCCATTTAGGGAATAAAATTATAGATAGTCCTCTTTAGGAATATCAGGAATAATTTAGTCCCATTTGAGGCAAAAAAACCTATAAATAAATATAGACCGATAAATATGCATAATCACATTCATGAGACATTTGAAAGCAAAATATGGTACAAAAATATGTTTTCATTGATGAGTTAGAATGACAAGTACAAAAGGAACTGGGAATTGGAACTCAGAATTTTTCTAGAATTTTGGAGAAAAAAGTTTACATTTAAGATTGGGACCTATGTTACAAGAACCGGATCGGAAAGCGACCTGGACAAACGGTAGGGTCTCGGGTCAGCCCGAACCCGGCGGGTCAACCCGGTCAACGCCAGTAAAACCCGGTCAACATCTATGATTTATTATATTGATAAATACATAACTGTACATAAAATTAAAAATAGGTGTAATTGACATACTCTGATTATTTTTAGTAAATAAAATTTACATATTTTAAACTACATTAAAACCGCTATAAAGCCTGATTAAAAAAATGTAAATTTGATAAAAATTTGATATATAAAGTAAAAGATTGAAAATGATTTAAGTTGACCATGTTAATAGTGGACGGGAACCTTCTAATGCGACGGAGGTAGTACCTTTTTAAACAATAGATATGAATATGTAACACTGTAATACGAAGTGTATATTGAATTAACAGCAATAGTAATATAGAAGTAGATTGCTTTGTATATACGAAGTACTTCGTATATATTAAGAGGCCGTTTGGAACCACTGTTTTTCGGCTTATCAGGCTTATCAGTCAACTTTTTCACCAAACACGTAATTTTTGCTTTTGCGCGCTGAATTGTGTAATAAGCAGAAAAAGTAAGGTTGAAGTTACTTTTCCGGCTGTTTTGGCTGAAGTTACTGTAGGCGACCATTTTAACTATTTTTACATATAATTTTTTCTTTATTTAATAAAATATATTTTAAAAATAATTTTTTCTTAAATGAGCAGAATCAGTCAATGTGGCCACTTCAGCCAAATTAGCCGATTTTCGTGCTACCAAACGGGCTCTAAGTACGTATACAATATTTTTTTTCTATTTTTCAAATCATTAGCCACTGCGAAGCGGTCTTTCCCTAGTGCTCGAGGTAGGGTTTTTTTCTCGCTGTCACTCGTGCAGCGCTTTCTTCCGAGGCAGCGAAGCATCCAGGGGGCTCGTCTTCAACGACCGGGCCTGCTTCGAACGGGTGCAAGGACAAGAAAGATGGATGGCGAGACATTGGAGAAGGATTGGTATGAGCGAGAGCATGAAGAGGAACCGGTGGATAGCCTAGTCGATAAGTATGTGGGGTTGGGCATAGGTGGGGCTGAGGACGAACTGGTGCTCGAAGATGATAAAGAAAGGGCAGCGGCGGCCGAGGCAGTAAAGCCGGAGGAGTTCCCGGTTGTTGGGACGATTCTTACGGACAAAGTTGTTCGATTTCCGTTCTTCAGGGATCTTATGGCAGCTTTATGGCGTCCGGGCAAAGGTGTCTCAACTATCTCTACCTAAACAAAAAAATGAAAATGCTCAATGCCTACTTTCTTTCGTGTCTTTTTTTTCAACTATCTATACATCAAAGTTCATCCGTGTCTTTTTTTAACAAAACTTACACAAATTTACTAATGAAAAGAGCATTTGCAACTTTTGCCTACTTTCTTAACATTTATATTAAAATGGATGTAGCCAACTTTTTTTTGAAGATATTAGTCCTTATTTTTCTTAACTGACAATTCAAGTATGCATTACGAAATAGTTTTGATGACTGTATAATATAATAGGGCCATCGAATATAACTGTGGTGTTAAAGATGTATTTTTTTAATACTTTGATGATTAATTTATTATACAAATTAAAAGTGCTAATTATTTTCTAAAATAAGAATGAGAACATTTATTAGGATAACTAAAAAATGAAATTGAGAACCTTTAGTTTAGACGGAAGGAGTAGTAGATTTCAAAGTCGAATAATACACTTAAGTCGATCTACTAATACTATTATCGCATTCAATAGCGGATTTAGGCTGGTGTATTGACACTCCATTGCCTCAAAATGGAGATGTTGGAGATTTGGTAAAAGTTGGTGTAACATACTATGTTAAGAAAGTGATTTTTGGTTGTTTTCAAAAGTTTTTGTTAATATCATTTTAATCAATTAATTTATGGTTCCTATTATTTCTGTCTCCTCTTAACAAATCTCAATTATATGGTTTTTACATAATTACTTTTCATATCAATCAACTTGGAAATAAATCATGTGCGGAGGGAAATTCTTTTAAAGATTCTTGCGTTCGCCACAGACAAGAGTTATAAAAATTTGTCTTTTTTAAATATTGGATAATATAGACTGAGAACATGTTTAAATAATTAGTTAAAAAATAAAAAATACTCAATAAATAAGAATATACATTATCAACCAATGTTATAATCAACTAAATAAGAGACTTTCTGTTAGTTCTAATAACTCATACATCAGTTCGCGCGCACAAACATATATAGTAAAACTAAAACAAAATCATTCAAGGGCGGATGTAGGGGGCAACCGGGCCACGGGCCCACGGCCTACCCCAAAATTTTAAGTTCTTTGTACGTTTAGTGTAAAAATTCATGTGTAAAATTTATCTGAAAAAAATCCTTGTACCGGCCCACTCCAAGCTTCGATCCTCACTACGCCCTAAAAACGATCACCCATGATCATTTTTTTTTAATTTAGATAAGATGGTTGAAAAAATAATTTTATTTGAAAGCAATTGAGAGTTATAAAAAGATGACTCTTTTAATTGGAAAATTAAATATAGGATGAGAACATTTTTAGATAATTAGATTGAAAATAAGATACATGCATTATCAACCATTGTTATAATCGACTAAATAAGCAATTTTTTTTTAATTATAATAATTCATACATTTGCCAATGCGCACACACATATAGTAAAACTAAAAAAATCATTTCATTCCGTGCACGACACTGTAAAGATACTAGTATATTAATATATCAAATATATATTTTTTGGCAAGAATCGAATTAGCAAAAATAATATACTACGTATACAATATAATTCAAGCTTGAAGAGAATGGAACAATTGGAACGAGAGGTTAGTATAATAGGAGTATTTTCGAAAGTGCTAAAGTCGGACCTTTTTTCCCGCGGGTGCTGGGGCCTCCGGGTGTCATCTTTTTTTCTGGAATATTTTTGGTAATTACCCACTTGCCCTAATTTTTTTTTTTATTTTTAGCAATCACTGATCCAAAACTAGAGAGAAGATGCCCACTGCTTCCTCGCCAGCCATCACCGCCGCCCCCTCCAAAACGACGCAGCCGCCCCCTCCTCTATCTCTTTCCAGTCAGCGCAGTTTGAATCACTGTCGTAACCTCAACCCTAAAGTTGAAATGAAAAATCCCATCAATTACAGCAGAGCCGGTGACGGGCACCCATCCTCTGTGGATTCCGGCATGCCCGACCCAATTATTGCTTCCACTTCCTCGTCGCCGATTCTAATCGACGGGTTCGAGGAAGATGCGGTTCTGGCCCGCTCCAATTTTCTGCATCGGGCCGAAGTTTTGCGGCGGCGCTCTCGTAGGGTCAAGCAGCTCGCCCGGATATATCGGGAATACTACTGGGCTTTGATGGAGGAGTTGAAGATTAAGTATAGAGAGTATTATTGGGAGTACGGAAAAAGCCCTTTCCAAGAAGACAATGAGGAGAATAACATCTCCAACGGGAACCGCGTTGATTCCGCCTTGGGTAATGGGGAAAACCCTAACCGCAACAACCTAATTGGCAGCAGCAATGTTAGTAATAGGTGTGGGGTAAGCACTTGCAAAACGAAGGCCATGGCTATGACGAGGTTCTGTCATGCGCACATCCTATCAGATCCCAAGCAGAAGCTCTACAAGGCTTGCAATTATGTGATCAAAAGGTTAGGACTTTTTCTTCGCTTTCTTCATAAGTTAATACGTGGTATCTATTTCGAAATATCAAATTTTGTTAATAAGAGTTGTCTTTTTTGGAGAGGCATGAATGCGATTCCATATGATTTTTGAATTTATATTCTTTTAATCTAGTATATTTGCAGCATTAAGAAGGGTAAACATGCAAGTTTTTTGTTGAAGCATGATGGTGGAGATGGTCAGATAGTTTTGATAATCATCATATCCTTAAACTCATAGAGTCATAGGCAAGAATAAAACCCAAAAAAGAAAGGAACTTGTTATATTGAACTCTGTGAAAAAGTCACCCCCTAGATATTTCTGCTTCAGTGCTGTGTTCATGTTTGCTGTTCTCACAAACATGTGCTGATGTGCTACCACCATTTCTGGTTTTAAATATCACACTGCAAAATGAATGCTTTTTAGAATTTCTCCTGAATAACCACTAGTAGAAGGGGGAGGGAAGGGGGACTTTTCACATTATATGCAACTGCATATATCTGCCTTAAAACTTGTAGAATTCAGGTAACTAAATTATTGAATCCCCTGATAAACTCTTGAGCAGAACTAGTTAAATGAGGCCTATAACTGTCCACATGCATGCATGAAAACAATTAATCAAAAGTGTTCTTGAGCCAAAAGTTGTAACCTTTTGCCCAAACTGCTAAATTTCATCATTTCTTTTAGTGTTACCATCTACTGCCAAAATGTTGAAACCAAGTGTATACGTTTAAGTATTTAACAATAGATTGCTAGTTCTATGGTATGTTTGTACTTGAGCGTTGGCCCCCTATTAAAACATAGCCCAGAAAAATATAGTTTCACCCTCACCAAACTCTTATAGGATGCTGTATATACCGTTTCCACATTCTCATAATTGAAGAATGTAATAAGTTGGGGCTTTCCACTAATATTAAAGTGTTGGCTTTGGATAGAAAAGAGACAATATTTTGAGTTTACATAAAGTGACTAAATATGTTCTAGAATTGGAAACTCATAAATCCATTGTACTAAATTGCCCCTCCCAAGCGTCTGTGACATCCGCCTAGTTACACCCAAGTGACAGTGACATCGTCGACAAACGAGAGTAAGTGATAGTGACACCGGCGCCAGCAACCCAGTTTCACTGTCTTCTAAAAATGACTTACTTATACACCTACACCACGCAAGTGGCATGCAAACCTCCTGCACCCCCAACAAATGACCCCACCACCCCCGGTAAATGCGTGACCACACTGCCCGGCGTGGCGCCGCAGTGACCTAACCCTTCTGCCTCTTACCCACCAATGGCCCACTTCCCCCGTCCCACCAGTCACCCAACCACTCCAGCACCCCAGTGGCCACCCTGGCTCCCAATGACCCCACTATCACTGACACATGAGTGACCGCACCACCCACGACACCCCAGTGACCATCCTTCCCCTGACACCCAATGGCCCCACTGTCCCCATTGCTCTGAGTGACCCCACTGCTCCGCCGATGCACGACCATTGCCCCAACCCCTCCCCTGCCACTGTAACTCCCTGCCCCAAACTCTCCCATGCCAATGATCACCTGTGCTCAAGGTGAGACAGTTTTCAACCGTTGATTCTCATCCACATTCATTCCCAGTCATCTGAGAGAAAGAGACGAGAAAGAACAAAAGAGGAACTATTCCAGTCCTTTTTTATAGCCATCCACACTCATCCCCAGCCATATTTATGGCTTTGGAAATTGCAGGAGTGCTATTCTAGTCATTTTTGCTATTAAGTTTTAGACTTTTAGTCATATCTATGAATTTTCCCCTTGGAATTATTTAACTTCTAGTGTTTTAAACGACAATTGTATGCTTTATGTGTTTGCAGTTCTCCAACAGGGCCCATACTCTGTGGGAAGCCAGTTTTGAGATCTGTGGTTCCTTCTCTTTGCTCTCCCCATATGGAGAGGGCTGACAAACATGCCACACGGGCTTTGAAGAAGGCGGGCCTAAATGTATCTTCAGCCAGTAAGATCACTCCAAAATTTCAGGTCATACTCGTGGAGTTTGTAAACCAAATTCAGAGCAGGCGGAGGTCATTGAAGGCCGCTGCTGCATTAGAGAACTCAGAAATGAAGGTCTAACTGCCCCTTAAATGATGGCGCTGCAGATTACAACATTCATGAACAAACTTGACCGTACATTTCTAGACAAAATGGATGGTAGTGGGCAGCAACATACTTGATTGTGTGCTTCAAATGTGTCACATTTCTGTTCAGTTCATTTGAATCAACCATTTCGTCTAGAGACTACGCCTTGAGACATTTGTAACAAAATTGCTGAGAAGTCATTGTTTCTTCCAAATCCGCTAATCGTATAAAGGGCAATACTGAGTAATAATAATAACACATCTGTTTAAAACAACACAGACCGTTTGTCTCAATTTTATACGGTTGGATTTAATGGAATTGGATTTTGGATCATTCTACGATAAGTTGTGGCCAAAATACTTTGAAGTATGATGAGTATATATGGGGGGGGGGGGGGGGGGGTAAAAACCCCACTAGCCCAATAGGCATGGTACTGAGAAAGTATCGGCACCAAATTTATCTCGAAGTATATCTTTTCATTTTTTTAATTAGAAATACAAATCTTGTAGTATGTACCTTAGCTCATCTATATCCAATTTTTTGTATACTAGAGTTTTTCTATTTATCATTAGTTTTTGTCTTATCAGTTACTAACATACAAAATTAACTAAACTTACTAAACAAATACTAACTAGTAACCATTCAGAAGTAATTTATACGGAGTAATTTAATTTATTTGTTTGTTTCAATTTATAAGGTAGACTTGCAAGAATTTAGTAATTTTGCATCTTATGTTTCAATTTTTTGGACTTACTATAACTATATTTTTACATTTTTGTTATCATGAAAGTCTATTGATTTTAATTAAAAAATCATCTGTACAAGTATTTAGATATTTTCAATTATTGGAATGGTTTCAACATGGTATTGTACTATCTGGTTTCAAAATGGAATGATATCAAACGACTTTGGGGTGTATCTCATACTAAGAGCATCTCCAACCCTCACTTTTGACGGAACGGAAATTTGCCACATAATTGAATTTAGAAAGTGTGATAGATTTTTGATCTCCAATGCCTTCTTTGATGTGCCATGTTAAGTCTATGTGGAATCGACACTTTCAAACCCAATTTCGAATATTAGAAAGCATGTTCAACATGCTGACTCGTCAAAGCAGGGCCGGCTTTAGCCTTTCAGAGGCCCTAGACGGAAAAACATTTATGAATCATCTATAGTCAAAATTTTATTTACCCATCATATGACAATACCTACATATTCATATAAAATAGAAAATCCACAAACAATTTTATCAAAAAGCTTGTTTTGTGACCCTGTTTTTCAATTTATCAACCAACTTTTTCATCAAACACGTAATTTTTAATTTCATGTGTTGTATACTTGTATTGTGTAATAATCAAAATAAGTAAGATTGAAATGATTTTTCTAGTTGCATTAGCTGGTCTTACTGTAGAGTATCATTTTACCTATTTTTTCATATAACTTTTTCTTTATTTTATTAATAAAAATATCAAAAATTTATTTTTTCATAAATTAGCAGAATTAGTCGATTCAGGGAGTATTTGGAACTGATTTTGCTTCTGCTTCTTTTTTAAAGCAGAAGCAGAATCAGAATCAGTTTTCAGAATCTGGTCACCCTCAGCTTCTAAAAAACTGATTCTGGGAGTGTTGAGGTTTATTCCTTCAACCCTTGGACCCAACACGTAAGCCCAAAGATTTCGAGTGGAGTGAGTGTATGGATATCTAGCCCAACAAGCAGATGATATGGATTATAGAGAACAAGAAGTAGCAAGTAAATGATTATGTATTATTATCTCTTAATAACTCCCTAATACAATACTTTTCGCTAAGGGCTCCGTCGGCCGTTCGTCTAACCAGGCAGCTAGAAATGCTACAAGTAAGAATGCTGAAGCTAGTATGCTAAGAATAGAAAGTTGCCAACCCTTTACAATGAAATAAATGCTTCTATTTATACCCGCCAATGGGTAGGTGGCTGTGCTGACGTGGAGGCCTGTGGACCGCTTGTGCCCCAACCACCAAATCTTCAGCATTAAATGCACTTCCCGCCAGAATCTAGGTTTCCCGCCTAAATAATGGGCACGTTCGTCCGCCAGGGAAGCGAGCTGGATCGCTCCAAGTGATCCCCAAGAGGTTCCGGCCGTTCGTCTTCTGGCCTTGTGGATTCTCTCCATGTGGACTGGATTTCCTCAGACGACTATAGATTCGCCATGGGGACGTTCGTTGTCATCCGCTGGGCCTGAGCTCCCAATCCCAGACGTTCGTCTCTCCCCAAGGAATGTGGGCCTGCGGGCTGGCCTTGTGGTCTGCCTGGACGTACGTCTGGTGAAGGAAGGGTTAGTGGGCCGGACCTCGGCTTGGGCCCTTAACCCAACACAAGTCCCCCACTTCTGATGTTCTGAGCATGCGCAGGACATAAGGAAGTATGAATCTCCTCAAAGTAGACGTTCGTGTCTTGATACTTGTGTTCATCGCATCCGGTGGAAGCGTACGCTCGTGGTCATGGTGCTTAACAGCTGTCGACGGTTCAGGAAACGAGGTGACGGCTGCTGTAGCGGCGGTGCATTTCCCAAGGAGATGTCATCATTACGCTTTCGCCCCACGCACGGCGCGTGAGCCGGAATACGCTCCCTGCCACGCGTCAGCCTCCCGTTGGCTCCCCCACCGGTGTTTCTCCTATAAATGCCGGTTTTTCCCTCTGGATTAGGGTTCCCAATTTCTGCTCTCTTGTCTTCGAATTTCCGCAGCTCTTCAAGTCTTCTCCCGCTTCTAAGTTCGGCTAATCCTTCTAAGGTAATTCTCATCTCCTGCTTCTTTTTCTTGTCTTGAATTCCTGCCGTAATGGTTTCGATGGAGATCTCGTCAAGTTCTGGCTCGGGTTCATCGGGTTCCTCCTCGGGCTCCTCTTCCGACTCTGGCTCACGCTCTTCGGGGGAAACCAGCACTTCTGGTAGTTCTGGCTCGGCCCCTACCGCGGGGACTGTTCAGGCCGGGGAAGCCCAAACTGGTGTTGTTGCGATGGTCCCTGGTGAGGAAAGCGCTGATACGGGGGAGCAAAACAGTATGGCTCTCGATGTGGTGGACCCCGTGGCTGAAGGCGGGGAGCAGGAGTCCGTCAGCGAGGACGGTCGTCCGAACGGGTATGACTCTGGGGTCGAGGCGCAGGATGGCTCTGACATCGAGGTATTTGAACTTGGGTTAAAGATAGATGTGGAGAGGCATCTATGCCCTATCAAGAACGTCCTCTGCCACGAGCAGGTCTTCTCGCAGGTGGCCCTGAACAAACTGAAGGTGTTCTTCCCCCCTCCGTCCGTATACAGCCTTCGTGGCGCAACCCACGTGATGAGGAGACGCCCAGGAATGGTTATGGTGCTTCTGGACTCCATCGAGGCTGGGCTGCGCTTCCCTCTTCATCCGTTCTTCGTGGAATTCTTCTGTTGCTACCAGATAGCCCCCGCACAGCTCATGCCGAATTCCTATCGGTTCGTCTCCGCCTTCCTAGTCCGTTGCAAGGACAATGGGGTCACCGCCACTTTGGACTTGTTCCATTACTTCTACCGGCTATCCCCCTTTGGACGTACGGGGTACATAACCCTGATTGCGCGTCCGTCCATGGTCCTGTTCTCAAACAATGCTGGGAACCCGGACGGCTGGGAGGAGCGGTTCTTCCTCGCCGAGGTGGGCTCCCCGATGCCATTCTCCGATAGGTGGAACGCCTACCCGGTGAAGTCCATTCCGCCGCCCATGACGGATGAGGAGCTTGGCTATGCCAAGCGCATAGCTGGTCTTGGCATCCAGAACCTCCGGTCGCTGGTGGCCGAGCCCTTTAAGGCCCGGGCCGGGCTAGGTGCGTCTATTTGTACTTGTATTGTCCTATCATCCTTTCGCTGTTATGGCTCTGAACGTCTTGATTTTCTTCCTGCAGGAATTTTCCCGTCTACATCATCCATGGGACGTGCCAACGTTGCTTCGCATGCCCGCGGCCGTGACAGCAAGGATCATGATAAGGGCAGGAAGCCGCTCGTCCCTAAGATCGAGCCCCGGGTGACCAAGAGGCGGTCGGACGACGCATCGGATGCTGGGGCTTCCAAGAGGCCGTGCATTGACGGTACCGCTTCCAAGGCCATCATAGTGGCTGACGACTCCGATGGTGAGCCCGGGAGTCCCTTGAAGCGCAGACCTTCTTCCAAGAACAAGCCCCCTGTTTCTCCTCCGCGGAATTCCGAGGTCCGTCGCCTTCGGGATGGAGATGTTCATGCTACCAAGGGATCTGACGATGCTCGTCCCCCTTCGCCCCCAGAAACCAGCGGGTCCTCCCTTGGTCTTATTGAATTCTCCGGGGTTGGCCCTCGCAAGGAGTCGATGATGCTCTTCGGCCAGACCGCGTCTTCCATCTGGTGCGGCCTCAACCTCAAGGTCCCCTCAGATTTCGCCGCCCAGGAAGCTCCTGAGGATCTCCTGGAATGTGGGCAGAGCACCCTTGACAAGGCCGGGCTGTATTTCCACAGGGCTCGGATGGCCTTCGAGCATCAAGGCAAAGAAATGGCTCGTGTGCGGGCTGAATGCGATGCCCTCTTGAGGAACGCCAAAGGCAGGACCGGAACACTTCAAGAGAAGGCTGATGCTTATGACAAGCTCGTCCAGGAGAGCCTTTCTCAGAAGGAGCTTCTTAGGAAGCAGGAGGCCGAACTTGTGGACCTTCGCAGCCGGCTGTGGGCCGTGGAAAAGGCAAAGGTGGAGATCCGCCGTACGGGTGTGGATAATCACGTCCCCATCTATGAGGCCGACGTTTCAAAGATCAAGGAATCTGGTTCCATTGAATTCCAGAAGTCCACGGCCTACACCGGTGCCATCCAGACTATGGCCAGACGGTTCCTTCCGAGGTTCGTCGGCGAGTTCTTGGCCACCTGCCCGGACCCTTATCTAGATGGTGTCAAACTGCTCCAGGCCACCCCCACTGGGGAACGCTTCCTCGACGATCTTGCCGACGATACTTATCTCAAGGGTATGGTCGGCCTCGTGGCAGAGAATCTCCCGGTCTTCGAGCGTCACTTTGGGGCTCCCTTTGATCCTGCGGCAGCTGGCTTTGATTCCTTGATGGTAGATGCCCATAAGGGGGCCCTTGAGCTGCTGAGGGAGCGTAAGGAGCGTGAAGAAGCCGAGGCCAGGGAAAAGGCCAAGCAGGTCTCCTTCAAGGTTCCGACTCCGGATGTTGATCAAAGTTGATTCTCCGCCCATCGTCTTGTACTTGTACCCATTTTTCCATTATGTACATTGTACCTTTTATACTGTATGTAACACCGTCCCCAAATATATTTACTTTTGTGTAAATAATGTATTGAACCTTATTAAAGGATTAATGAATTTACGAAGTTGTAA